GCAGCAACACCGGGTTGCGGAGTTATGGCGGCACCTGCTGACCACCCCACGGCGAGATGCGGAGCCGCGGCGGCGGCCGCGGCAAAAACCTGCAGGCACAGCGAGGTGCGGATCCGCGGCGGCGCCCGCAGCCCACCCCGCAGGCGCGGCGAGGTGCGGAGCCACGGCGGCACCAGCGGCAACCCTCCGGCGGCGAGGTGCGGAGCCGCGGCGGCGATGTACGGAGCCGTGGCGGCACCCGCGGCAAATCCCGCAAGCACGGCGGGATGTGGAGCCGTGGCGGCGGTCGTGGCCCACCCCGCAGGCGTGGCAATGTGTGGAGCTGCGGTGGCACCCGCAGGCGCGACGAGGTGGGGAGCTGCGGTGACGCCGGCGGCCCAACCCCAAGGCACGGCGAAATGCGGAGCCGCGGCCTTACCTTCGCGGCGTCGGAGGCGGCAACTCCCGCCGGCGCGGCGAGCTGCGGAGCCACGGCATCGCCGGTGGCCAACCCCGTAGCCGCGGCAAGAACCGGGGCCGTGGCGGCACACGCAATAGAGAGCGGAGTCACGGCACCCATGGCGTCGATTTGCTGCGTCGCGCAAAAAATGGAGGCTGCCTGCGACATCGCAGGCAAAATGGCCGCCGCTGGCAGTATCTCGGCCTCGCTGTGCGCTGCGTTGCACCGCTAGTCGAGTAGACAACCATGTGTTCAATAAACCCTCGAAGCCAGGATGACCGTCCAACTCCGATCGTCATTTATTGATTGTAACAGATAAAACTGGTGAGAAAACACAGATACAGCATCTGTTATAATTCGGAAACACCCACACAATGAACACCACAGCATCAGAACATTGTCTCAGATAACAATAGATCCTGGAAGGACCAGGCCCCCACATTACCCCTGAACAACTAGACAAAGGCACAAGCTGATGCGTTGCATACAGGCACAGTGTATTCATCCCACTGCACCCCAAATGTACAGCATTACACTTAACACTAAACTGTGGATGAGATACTTCGTCATCACTCTCAGGATCGCAACATAGGCACAAGTCTGACTCGACCTACTAAATCACAAGTAACATCCACAATAGGGAAAGTCACAGGCTTCGTTACTAACTAGGCCTCGTATTTACTACAACAACTTAACGGCACCATAAAGGCATTTACATTGCTATAACGGTCATTCCAACATTACAACAGCATTTCCAATATTATAGGAATATAAACAACTTACAGATAATGCTTCTTAAGCTCCCACAATGGATAAGTGCGGCTGTGGTCTCACTGAGATGCGATGCGTGCCGCCATCTTGACTTATCTGAGTAATGGCTGAAGCCCGCGTGGTACAGTGGAAATCTAACATCGTCACTTCCTGGTCACGTGACCAACATTAGCATAAAAAAACAGGAACTTCCTGTTAACGTACGCTCCCCATCTGCCGTGAGGCAAGACACTCCCCGTCTGGTATCTAGGAGATACCACCATTTATTTCCATCTCATAAACAAGTGTATAACAACTTCAACGGGTCGACTTATTTGTCCATATCTTTGCGAGAGAGAAGTAGTACTATCTCGACTATGGGCCTGATGAAAGTTCTTGCGACACCTTGCTTCGCAATCATAACCTCGACCTTTCGAACTTTTCCATCGGCTGGTGGAATCGACTTGAGGATGCGGCCCATTGGCCACTCATTCCGTTTGGCTTGGTTGTCCTTCAGTAGGACGAGGTCGCCTTCTTGGATGTCTGGTCTATTAGACTGCCACTTGTTGCGCACTTGGAGTGTCGTAAGGTACTCGTTTTTCCAGCGACGCCAGAACGTGTTCGCGAAGCTCTGCACTTGTCTCCATTGACGTCTGTAGAGGTCTGCAGTGCTGGTCTCCTCGGTAGGTGCTGTGAGCATATCTGTCTTCTGGGTAAGAAGTGTAGCAGGAGTCAAGATGAATGGTGACTCCGGGTCGGTTGAGACGGGAATCAGGGGTCTTGAGTTAATTATGGCTGAAACCTCGGCCATGAGAGTGGTCAAGACCTCGTGAGAGAGCCGTGTGGACCCGACATCACATAGCATGGAGTCGAGAATGCGTCGAGCAATCCCGATCATGCGTTCCCAGGCTCCACCCATGTGCGAAGAGTGGGGAGGATTGAAGATCCATGTGCAGCCTTGATCACTAAGGTATTTCCTGACAGAATAATCTTCGACATTCTCCGTATTGATCTTAAGCTCTTTACATGCTCCTATGAAATTGGTTCCACAATCAGAACGGAGTTGCTTGGCTGGCCCTCTGATGGCGAAGAACCTCCGGAGTGCATTTATAAAGCTCGAAGAGTCCATGGACTCGATGACTTCGATGTGCACTGCTCGTGTACTCATACAGGTGAACAGCACTGCCTAACGTTTGCTGTTCGCGAGCCCTCCTCTGGTGCGGCGGGAGATGACTGTCCACGGTCCGAACACGTCGATCCCTACAGAGGTGAAGGGAGGTTCCACACTGAGTCGATCGGCTGGGAGGTCTGCCATTTTCTGTTCTTCCTGTTTTCCACGTAGCTTGCGACACCGGATACACTTGTGGATTGTGCTGGCGATGCACCTCTTTGCTCCAACGATCCACAGCCCTGCAGATCGGATTGCTCCTTCTGTGAAGTGCCGACCTTGGTGCTTGACCTTCTCGTGGTAGTGGCGCACGAGTAAGATTGCGATGTGGCTCTGGCTTGGGATTATGAGGGGGTTTCGTTCATTCTCATCTAATTTTGCATTCCCTAGCCGACCACCGATCCTGAGCAAGTCGTCTTTGTCCATCCCGGGGTTTAGCTTCCTGAGGGTGCTGACCCTAGGAAGGTCTTCTCCCTTGTTGATGGCCTTGATCTCACTTGCATAAGCTGCCTGTTGCACACAGCGGAAGATTGATTTCCTTGCTCTGGAAAGCTCGTCTTCAGTGCGTGGCACTGTGCAGTAATGCCATCCATTGCAGCTACCAGTGGTGCCTCTCATCGGGCGATGGAAGCAGTCTGCGATATGCGTTAAATGTGCTATCGCTCGCACGAGCGTCGTCCATTTCGAGAAATGTTCAAAATGGTGTGGACTCAGTGGACTTCTTGGTCGCACATTTGTTACGAAAGTTGTCACTAGAGGACGAATCTCCTTGTCGGACTCGGGCTCTATGAGTCCAAAGGTCTCCTTGGTAGTACATGGGCCACCGTCACGTCGTAACAGGAACGCTGGACCCGTCAGCCAGATGGTTTGATTCAGCAGAGATGCAGGGACGGACCTAGTTGCGAGATCTGCTGGATTCTGGTCAGTTGGAACGTAATTCCATTCCTCCGGCTGCGTCGATCTCCTGATGCGCTCCACCCGGTTGCTGATGTAGGTGTAGAACCTTTTGGTTTGGTTGTTTATGTAGCCTAGTACGACCTTACTGTCCGTGTAGAACTTGACCGCGTCCAGTTTGACGTCAAATTCGTCTAAGATCAGTTCCGCCACCTCTGTAGCAAGAACCGCTCCACACAGCTCAAGCCTTGGGATGGTATGTTCCGGTTGTGGGGCCTTGCCGTGGAACTCCTTCCAGAATTCCCACTTGGACGATAGCTCCGAGTCGAGGAACGGAGAGGCCACGGTCACAGCGACCACCGCCACGACCACCAGCTTGGAGAAACGTGGAGGAACAAACTCCAACGAAGACGGTGGATGCACAAGCGAAGTCATGGTGGTTTCTTCGTGAGTCTGCACGGTACAGCCTTGACTTCTCTCGCCGAGGTCCTCTTTCAGCGTGAAGTGGTTGGGGCATCGTTTGAAGAGCGACGTGCGTCCATTCGTGAGCACACTCGTTCTGAATGTGCTAATGTGGTCTATGCATATTAGTAATTAGTGTCTAAATTATTTTATACAACCCCATTAATGTATGATATGCCATGTAAAATATAATTCATTTTCCTCTGGAACGGATTATTTCCTTTCCCTTTATTTCTTATGCGAAAAATTTGTTTGGTATACGTCATTTTCGGTATAAGTCCTACCTTCTGGAACGAATTTACGACGCATACCGAGGTACCACTGCAATTGCTAGCCCAACACTCGCCCCTAACACTGTTATTTGAATAATAATGATTCACCATGTAGGCATATGTATGACTGACGTCCTCATCGAATTCATGGCTATATGCATGTGGCAATTTGTGAACATTTGCGTTGTACATGAGCGTGTTGCGTATGGGTTACACTATCATATAAAAACATACATAAGAGGTTTTTGGGTTAAAAATACACTAAAAACAGACATCTTACCTATGTATAAATCGTTCTCACAGTCGATTCAATTACACCATAGTATCATCCAATGGATGCAGCACTCTCACCTCTTGCAAGCCTAACAACTGCACTTTTTGCACGAAAGTCATCACTTTTCTCTGATTTTTCTCACTACAATCACCACCACTCAACTGACCTCAGGGGCCATGATTAAAAAGTGAGATCACATGATTGTGTTTTGAGGGAAGGTGGCGACGAGATGTGAAACCTCGGCATATACAGGCCAGTCCAAGCGGAATGCGTGCTACTTTTCGACACTGAGATGATAATCTTAGTAGCGTCAAACCACGTATAGCCAAAACATCACCCCCGTGTTCCGGAAAATAGACCTCGTTAAGAAAACCATGTATAGCTGTAACAAACATTCGATAAAGCCGCATTTGGCAATGTTTTCTCGGAGTCTCTCATGACAAGAACATGGACTTGAGGTCAATGCTCAGCTACTATTTAGTCCAGCAGTCCTTGCTTGAATCCGGCATTCACGTGTTTGTAGATATGCTAGTGTTGTCATTGCACTGATCTGGCCCATGTCTTCCAATCACTCCTGCCCAGGTATTAATGCCATGACTCGGATATTAATGTACAATAGCATTTTAATTATTAAAACATATATATGCTTGCAATGTATGATGCACATTTTATCTCAGTATGAATCTCCAAATTAATGCATTATCTATAACCCCCCGCCCCCCTCTCCATCGTCGGGCACAGTATGATGACGCATCTCTTCCGACCTGCGAAATGTTGACTGAAACAAAATGCCCAAACAAGCTTGAGGGCGCCAAGTGCAAATCCAGCACGTGGAACGCGAACATCCGATTCAATGACACTGGGTCAGGCATCAAAATGATAGATCCTCCTAGTGACATGAGCAACAACGTTGGCGAGAAGACGTTGAACAAGAGCTTTTCAGGAGACTGCTGTAACACAAGTCTAAGCATCAGCATCACAGACATAGCAGGGAACACACGTGTGTGCTCCTATGACATGAAGGTACCGTTGAAACTACACTACGATATATATATAATGTTATATGCAAATTACATGCTATATTGAATTAGCCTAAAGGTGTTGAGAAAATTAACGAGTCAATGGTCAGTGGACAGATGAACTTCACTGTACAGGAAAACCTCGGCGAACGCGGGGGTTATGTTCCAAAAAAATTATGTGTAAAACTACGTCCGACAAATAATTGACCATATGGGAAAAATTAGGTTGTGGTCGTGGCTCTGAAATTATCACGCAATTCCTCTTTAACTTATTCTATATGATTTCCACCTTGTTATTGTGAGCAAGGATGCTAAGTCGCTCTCCATTTGTGTGAATACTATTTTACATCAACACAAAATCCCGTCTTAATTATTCCAATTTCCAATTACAGTGAAACCTCGGTATACGACCGCTTTGGAATAAGTCAAAATTGGTATACGTCATGTTTTTTCGAGAAAAAAATGTCTTGGGATACGACGTCTTGCTTGGGATACGACGCGTTTGCTAGAACTTGTATGGGTCGGGATGAGTCACCGTGTACAGTACCCGCGTATGCCCCGTTCACGACTGAGACAAAGCGAGAGGGGCAGGGTGGCATGGGGGAGAGGGTCGGGGGACGTTAGGGAGAGGGGCGGGGGACGTGGGGGAGAGGGGCGGGGGTCGCGGCGGGCTGCCCCCATGGAGGGTGGAGCCCCGAGTCGAGGCGCGCGCGACGTGCGGGGTTGAAGCACGCCACGTGACAAGCGCAGCTGGCAGCAGCGCGGTCACGTGGCTTCTGTATGCATATTAGTAATTAGTGTCTAAATTATTTTATACAACCCCATTAATGTATGATATGCCATGTAAAATATAATTCATTTTCCTCTGGAACGGATTATTTCCTTTCCCTTTATTTCTTATGCGAAAAATTCGTTTGGTATACGTCATTTTCGGTATAAGTCCTACCTTCTGGAACGAATTTACGACGCATACCGAGGTACCACTGCAATTGCTAGCCCAACACTCGCCCCTAACACTGTTATTTGAATAATAATGATTCACCATGTAGGCGTATGTATGACTGACGTCCTCATCGAATTCATGGCTATATGCATGTGGCAATTTGTGAACATTTGCGTTGTACATGAGCGTGTTGCGTATGGGTTACACTATCATATAAAAAACACACATAAGAGGTTTTTGGGTTAAACATACACTAAAAACAGACATCTTACCTATGTATAAATCGTTCTCACAGTCGATTCAATTACACCATAGTATCATCCAATGGATGCAGCACTCTCACCTCTTGCAAGCCTAACAACTGCACTTTTTGCACGAAAGTCATCACTTTTCTCTGATTTTTCTCACTACAATCACCACCACTCAACTGACCTCAGGGGCCATGATTAAAAAGTGAGATCACATGATTGTGTTTTGAAGGAAGGTGGCGACGAGATGTGAAACCTCGGCATATACAGGCCAGTCCAAGCGGAATGCGTGCTACTTTTCGACACTGAGATGATAATCTTAGTAGCGTCAAACCACGTATAGCCAAAACATCACCCCCGTGTTCCGGAAAATAGACCTCGTTAAGAAAACCATGTATAGCTGTAACAAACATTCGATAAAGCCGCATTTGGCAATGTTTTCTCGGAGTCTTTCATGACAAGAACATGGACTTGAGGTCAATGCTCAGCTACTATTTAGTCCAGCAGTCCTTGCTTGAATCCGGCATTCACGTGTTTTGTAGATATGCTAGTGTTGTCATTGCACTGATCTGGCCCATGTCTTCCAATCACTCCTGCCCAGGTATTAATGCCATGACTCGGATATTAATGTACAATAGCATTTTAATTATTAAAACATATATATGCTTGCAATGTATGATGCACATTTTATCTCAGTATGAATCTCCAAATTAATGCATTATCTATAACCCCCCGCCCCCCTCTCCATCGTCGGGCACAGTATGATGACGCATCTCTTCCGACCTGCGAAATGTTGACTGAAACAAAATGCCCAAACAAGCTTGAGGGCGCCAAGTGCAAATCCAGCACGTGGAACGCGAACATCCAATTCAATGACACTGGGTCAGGCATCAAAATTATAGATCCTCCTAGTGACATGAGCAACAACGTTGGCGAGAAGACGTTGAACAAGAGCTTTTCAGGAGACTGCTGTAACACAAGTCTAAGCATCAGCATCACAGACATAGCAGGGAACACACGTTTGTGCTCCTATGACATGAAGGTACCGTTGAAACTACACTACGATATATATATATATAATGTTATATGCAAATTACATGCTATATTGAATTAGCCTAAAGGTGATAATTGGTTCTTTACCCTTCTATCTGGCAACAAAACTGACACCTTTTTGCAAGGAGTCATGTTTGCATAGACCGCAATACCTGCAGTCATAATACAAACAAAAGAACATAACTCTGATAATGTGCACTGTCCTTGAAGTTGATTGGTCCACACCCGAGACAGCTTTCCTTCGAGCCTAGTCTCATATGGGTTGGACCAGATGACGCCAAAAGGCGCACAACTCAAGGACAATGCACCATCAGAGTATGAGAGCTCCGGGCAAGCATCTACACCAGGGGTCCTCAAACTTTTTAAACAGGGGGCCAGTTCACTGTCCCTCAGACCGTTGGAGGGCCGGACTAAACTTAAAAAAAAACTATGAACAAATTCCTATGCACACTGCATATATCTTATTTTGAAGTGAAGAAACAAAACGGGAATAAATACAATATTTAAAATGAAGAACAAGTAGAGTTAAATCAACAAACTTGCCAGTATTTCAATGGGAACTATGGGCCTGCTTTTGGCTAATGAGATGGTCAATGTCCGGTTCCATATTTGTCACTGCTAGTCGTAACAAGTGATGTAAGTGTGCATCCATTAGTCTAGATCTGGTTGGAGATTTCAAATGTTTCATTCTGGAAAAAGTCTGTTCACAGACATGAGTGCTGCCAAAGATGGTTGCCATTTTGAGTGCATGGTTCCTGAGATGAGGATATGTCTCAGAGGGGAGAGATGCATAGAAATTATGAAGGCTGCTTGACTTGAATGCGTCTTTCAGAGAGTCACAATTCTGCAGTTCAGCCAGTTCCATTTGGTAAATTGTATCCACATTTTCAATGTCAATAGGAAATGGGTTACGGAAAAGCTGTATGTCCTGTTCATGGAGATGAAGCTCTTTAAATCCAAATTGGAACTCCTTTTGCAATTTTTCCAGTGAATCCACACGTTTTGTTTGGGAATGCAACCAATGGTTTTTCCGCTAACAGATTTTGAGTTGTGGGGAGATGGCAGAAGTTTTCCTCCTTCACTTGCTTGATGAGGAGGCCTAATATTACTTCAAATGCTTTGACATGTGATTGCACATCACAGATGAGCTTCCCCTTTCCTTGAAGTTGCACATTGAAACTGTTGAGTAGCTCTGTTACATCTGTCAGAAAGGCAAGGTGCCATTTCCATTCTGCATCATTGAGCTCTGGTACTTCTTTGTTTTTTTAAAGCAGAAAAGCTGTAATCTGTGGAAGTAAGTCATAGAAACGTTTCAAAACTCTCCCTCGACTCAACCAACGGACTTCTGTGTGATACAGAACATCTTCATAGTCAACATTTAGCTCAGACAGAAATGCTTGAAATTGTCTGTGGTTTAGTGCATGAGCTCTAATGACGTTAACACAAGATACCACAAATTTCATAACCGAGTCCCACTTCAGTGATTTACTACACAGCGCTTGTTGGTGGATGAGGCAGTGTATGGCTATTGGATGAGAATGGTTATGTTTGTCCATCTCTTGGTTAATGCGAGCAATTACTCCTTTCTTAGACCCCACCATGCTAGGAGCACCATCAGTTGTCACACTGGCTAGTTTAGCCCAGTTCAGCTCCAAACCATTCACAGTTTGGCAAACCTTTTCATAGATATCCTCTCTTCTTGGTTCTTTCGGTAAAGTCACGTAGAAGGGAAGTAATAAAATAATAAAAATAAAACATAATAAAATAATTTTCACGACGTTTCGGCCACAACACAAGCAGCCGTCCTCAGGTGAAAGCCAGGTCTGTCGGGGAGACAGCGTCTGAATGAAACAGCACACGAGCTTGGAGCATATATTAGCTGGGTAGGAAACGGGGGAAAGAGCGCCTTGACAAATAATTTGCATATCAAGAGGAATTTAGCATATTTATGGGACATGCAGGAATGTTATTAGTACTACATATGTAGCACGGGCATATGTAGTACTAATCACATTCCTGCATTTCCCATAAATATGCTAAATTCCTCTTGATATTGAAATTATTTTGTCAAGGCGCTCTTTCCCCCGCTTCCAACCTAGCTTATATATGCTCCAAGCTCGTGTGCTGTTTCATTCAGACGCTGTCTCCCCAACAGACCTGGTTTTCACCTGAGGACGGCTGCTTGCGTTGTGGCCAAAACATCGTGAGAATTATTTTATTACTTCCCTTCTATGTGACTTTACCGAAAGAACCAAGAAGATGAATCCCTGCAGTCACGAAAGCTTTAAATCGAAAGATATCCTCTCCTGTAGTTGTTCCTTTGATGCTTTGCAGTGCAGCAAGCTCTTCTGTGACTTCGAAATAGTCATTCGTCGCACGAATAAAAATTTGAAGTTGTGCAGAATCACGAACATCATTGCTTTCGTCGAGTGCCAAGGAAAAATAGGAAAGTTTTTTTGTGGAGTTTTGCAAATGCTGATGCAAATTGTCTCCCATTTATTCAATCCTCCGTGTAATTGTAGGTCCTAAAAGACTCACTGTACTAAATAAATCGGCCTTCTCTGGACACATCTCTTTGGCAACAGAAAGAAGGCATTCTTTAACAAATTCTCCCTCCACGAATGGTCTGCCAGTGCATGCTATTAGCTTGGAAACTTGAAAACTTGCTCGCAGTGATGAAATATTTAGCTGCTTCTGCTTCACAAAACTATTTCGCTGAGTTGTTAATGTATTTTTCATTTTTAATATTTTATCTTTTCTCACTTCTCCGACCAAACAAGCATATTTATCTTTATGTTGAGTTTTATAGTGTTGACGTAAATTTATTCTTTGAACACAGACACTATATTCTGGCATATCAGACACACAGCTCTTTCCTTGTACTGCATGAAAAAGTAATCATAAGTCCACTGTTCTTTGAATATCCTACACTCCGAGTCAATTTTTCTCTTTCTTGACATCATTGTTTCCTAGGGAGTCAAAATTGATATTAGTAAAATACCAATATATATACAGCGTTACAAAAACAATATACCAGTAATAACCTTGCCCAGACAGAGACATACAGACTGCACTGCCCATCAATGCAGTCTGATTGGGGGAAACTCCGCCCCCTCTCCCTCTTCCACCAATGACCGTCCTTCTCATGCAGAAAAAAAGTAACAGACAGGCAGCGGCGGCAAAAACACCCGGCGGGCCGGATAAATGTCCTCGGTGGGCCGCATGTGGCCCGCGGGCCGTAGTTTGAGGACCCCTGATCTACACTATGGGGACCTCATTTGCCAGTAAAAATATGATAATTGGTTCTTTACCCTTCTATCTGGCAACAAAACTGACACCTTTTTGCAAGGAGTCATGTTTGCATAGACCGCAATACCTGCAGTCATAATACAAACAAAAGAACATAACTCTGATAATGTGCACTGTCCTTGAAGTTGATTGGTCCACACCCGAGACAGCTTTCCTTCGAGCCTAGTCTCATATGGGTTGGACCAAATGACGCCAAAAGGCGCACAACTCAAGGACAATGCACCATCAGAGTATGAGAGCTCGGGGCAAGCATCTACACTATGGGGACCTCATTTGCCAGTAAAAATATGATAATTGGTTCTTTACCCTTCTATCTGGCAACAAAACTGACACCTTTTTGCAAGGAGTCATGTTTGCATAGACCGCAATACCTGCAGTCATAATACAAACAAAAGAACATAACTCTGATAATGTGCACTGTCCTTGAAGTTGATTGGTCCACACCCGAGACAGCTTTCCTTCGAGCCTAGTCTCATATGGGTTGGACCAGATGACGCCAAAAGGCGCACAACTCAAGGACAATGCACCATCAGAGTATGAGAGCTCGGGGCAAGCATCTACACTATGGGGACCTCATTTGCCAGTAAAAATATGATAATTGGTTCTTTACCCTTCTATCTGGCAACAAAACTGACACCTTTTTGCAAGGAGTCATGTTTGCATAGACCGCAATACCTGCAGTCATAATACAAACAAAATAACATAACTCTGATAATGTGCACTGTCCTTGAAGTTGATTGGTCCACACCCGAGACAGCTTTCCTTCGAGCCTAGTCTCATATGGGTTGGACCAGATGACGCCAAAAGGCGCACAACTCAAGGACAATGCACCATCAGAGTATGAGAGCTCGGGGCAAGCATCTACACTATGGGGACCTCATTTGCCAGTAAAAATATGATAATTGGTTCTTTACCCTTCTATCTGGCAACAAAACTGACACCCTTTTGCAAGGAGTCATGTTTGCATACACCGCAATACCTGCAGTCATAATACAAACAAAAGAACATAACTCTGATAATGTGCACTGTCCTTGAAGTTGATTGGTCCACACCCGAGACAGCTTTCCTTCGAGCCTAGTCTCATATGGGTTGGACCAGATGACGCCAAAAGGCGCACAACTCAAGGACAATGCACCATCAGAGTATGAGAGCTCGGGGCAAGCATCTACACTATGGGGACCTCATTTGCCAGTAAAAATATGATAATTGGTTCTTTACCCTTCTATCTGGCAACAAAACTGACACCTTTTTGTTTGTATTATGACTGCAGGTATTGCGGTCTATGCAAACATGACTCCTTGCAAAAAGGTGTCAGTTTTGTTGCCAGATAGAAGGGTAAAGAACCAATTATCATATTTTTACTGGCAAATGAGGTCCCCATAGTGTAGATGCTTGCCCCGAGCTCTCATACTCTGATGGTGCATTGTCCTTGAGTTGTGCGCCTTTTGGCGTCATCTGGTCCAACCCATTTGAGACTAGGCTCGAAGGAAAGCTGTCTCGGGTGTGGACCAATCAACTTCAAGGACAGTGCACATTATCAGAGTTATGTTCTTTTGTTTGTATTATGACTGCAGGTATTGCGGTCTATGCAAACATGACTCCTTGCAAAAAGGTGTCAGTTTTGTTGCCAGATAGAAGGGTAAAGAACCAATTATCATATTTTTACTGGCAAATGAGGTC